TGCGTGGCCTCGCCGCGGCGCTCGGCGGCGGCGCGGTCGGGGTGGACGCGCAGCGACGCCTTGCGGTAGCCGCGGCGGATCTCGTCGGCCGAGGCATGGCGCCGCACGCCGAGCACACAGTACAGATCAGGGGAGCCGAAAGCCGCCTCGCACTGCTCCAGCAGCCCCATAGCCCAACCGCGGCTCCCTCTGGGCGGCGCTCCCGCCCTTGAGTTTGACGCACACGCAGGCGCCCTGTGACCTGCGCCGCTTTACGGCCGAGGCAGGAACTGCTGTAAAAGGAGCCGGGCCGGTCCCGCGAGACGTGGCGCTGAGCGCGGGCTGGCCCAGAGGGCGCACAGCCGCAGGAGGCCGACTGACCCTAATAACGTTGGCCAGGGGGCGCAGGCCGGGGGACCTGCCGCCCAGCAGGGTTTCCATAGAGCCTGGCGCCGGGGGAGCTGGTCTGGACCGGGATCTTGCCGCGGTGACCGCGCGGTCCGGAGCTGGGGCACGCCGGCAGCAGACTGCAGCTCTGCCCGGCTCCGGCCCGCGCGGTCACCGCCGCAGATCCCGGCCCGTAGCAGGCTGTCCTGCCGCACGCCCGGCCGCAGCTGCCGAGCTGGTCCCCGTGGAAACCGGCCCTAGCAACGTGCGGTGCAGATGCTCGGAAAGGGAGCCTCGATCAGCCGCTCGGCCCAACCCTGGTCTAGAGCACATGTGCATGCTATACAAGTTCAACCCCGAGTACACACTGTACCCCCCAAACCAGCCCTGAATGGTGGCCCTACAGCCTGTCCAGGCCCACAGACAAGCACCCCACCCCAGAGCCAGTGCACAACGCTCTTCCAAGTACACTTCATGTACCATGCGCCCTGTGCTGCGTAGGTCCAAGCCCCAGATTGGGACCAGCACACACTGCACACAGTCCACACGGCTGCTCTAGGGCCCCTGCTGTACAAGGTGTGCACACCAGAGTAGTCCTCTGCTGGCTTTGGTGTGGAGAGCTAGTCTGTGTGTTTAGTCTGTGGCTAGTCTCTATCCTGGGGGCCAGACCTTCACCTCTTTTCCAGCCCACGGACAATGCGACTTAGAGCATCTTTTAGAAAGGCATCCAGTCTTGTTTAAAAGTGTTCCAGAGAAAATCTACTCAGGGCATTGTTCCAATACTAAATCACTCTTCCTTTGCAATCCACATTTTATTATTTGTCTGAACCTAGTTTAATTTAAGTAGATTTTGCTATAGTTTTACCTGCTAAAGAACTCTTAAGTTTCTGTTTCCCATGGAGGTACTTCTACACTGTAAACTGCCCTTTAAATGTTTGGAAACCTAAATCAGGGGTTGCTTGCTCCCTGCCTGCTTGAAGCTTCTTGGGTGATGTACACTAAAAAGCTGTTTTCCAGTCCTTAACTCTCCTCTGAATCCTTCCAATTACCAACATTTTTCTTGAACTATAAACAAACAAAGCAGTACTAAAGGCTTCGGGCCAGGGACTTACTTAATTCCCAGCAACTGCAAAATCTAGGATTATTTGCAAGAAATCAACAAAAGAAAATGCTGGCTCCCTAGTGGGAGCTAGCGGTCCTTGCTACCAGGAGGGGAAGGTGCCGGCTGGCAGGGCAACACAAAGGGCAGCCAGCAATCAAGATGATGGCTGCCCCCTCATCCCTCTGGGGACTCCTCAATCAGTGCAGAGAGGCAGGGCCACCACAAAACACCTGCATAACGGGCTCTGTGCAGCGTGAGTGGGCTGTAAAAAACCCTTTGTCCTGCTGCGATTTTAGCAGGTCCCTACTTGTATCATACAACCTTTTCATTCCTATGGTATATGCCCCTGCTCATACAGGCAAAGATTTCACTAGTATACATTAATTGTTGTTTAATGCATCAGTAGAAAACATTTCATTCATATTCTTCAAGGTGATTTTTGGAAAAATCCAAGGGAAAAATTAATCTTTCTCAAAGTAGTATTGTGTGTTACCAGCAGCCCCTGGAAGCTCAAGAAAGCAAATGCAAGCAAATCAACTCAAAGGAGTAGGGAATTCCCTTTGACTACCTCGTTTAAAGCAAAACAGAAACAACAACAAAACCAAGTACCCGGAAGTACTTGAAATTTCATGCAATTAATTTTTGTGACATTTTTAATTATTACCAACACATTGAAAACTCAATTCTAAAAGGCAGATCCTCTGAATATCCTGTGGGAGTGTTGCAATGGACTTTGGCAGGTGGGAAAAGGCTCTGGGAGTCACTGGTCACCTTTTCATAATGCTAACAATTGTATTACTAAAAAATACATAACCAAGTCATAACAGTTTACACTTATTAATTAATATGTCACTTTTACACAAATTGCTCCAAAATTGAAAATGGCAAAATATTATTTTGCAGCTTTTGAAACAAAACAGTGGAATAATACTCAGATGAAGATGTTCTGTATAAAACTCAGTAAGTCTTTATTCTATGCATACCATTCAAGTTGCATAGATGTTGAGCCATATACAAAAAGGGAGATGGACAGACAAAAATCAGTGCACATACTGAGTAGTTTAACTGTAATACCTATGATTGAAACTACTAACAATACAGATAAAGACATTTGTCTGTAACTACTAAATTACCATTATTCATACTAGGGAGGGAATAAAGTTTACTTCAGATTCTGATTTTTAATTATGTAAAGTACTTAGGTGGTTGTAGAACATGGTTAAGTCTTATATATAAAAAAAAAAAAAAAAAAAA